TCTACACCGAACTCCTTATAACAGCTGTTAGCAGATAGTTAGTTGCGTAACTAACCAACCAATCGGGAACTTCTGCCCCGACTAACATGATCTTAAATCCTGTTGCTAGGGAACACTAACAGTTAGTCTGAGGCCACATTCCGCGTTGCCCCGGCAACTCATAAAATGTTCACCTTTAACTAATGTTGCTTAAAGCACAATAAAACTAATGAATACTAATATTTACAAGTTATTAAATGAATGATTTGAGCTGGATAGCTCACTAGTTAACGTCAGCAGTTACTACGACTCACTTTAAATACAGTTTGTGGTCATTAGCATTAACTCGAACTTACCCAGAGCGACAGACAGCAGACTGGAGACCATGAATATGTTCTGGACAACGCAGCTGCGGAAATTATTCATGTTGTTGCAGCATTTTGTGATGGCGGGCCCAGACTCCTCCTGAGTTTCCTCCATTTTTAACAAAACTAATTCAGTTTAACTTCAAGTTAACGACAAATCGAGGCTAGCTGACGATCAGAATAATTACAGAGTGAACTATCATCAGGATGTTCTGCTGTTATTGTTCGAAACCGACGTTTGAATGACGACAAACAGAATGACCTAGAACCTGTAACCATCATCTAACTCCATATATATCTAAATACTGAAGCTATAAGGCAATAAAAGACCATTTCCTGTCATTTTTTAATCTAAATTAGTTTGTTTTTTTATACTTTTAGTCATAAAAATATGTGTAATCCTCAAGGTGGTGAGCTGGGAATGAGCAACTGTCTTTGTACATGAGCTAGCTTTGTGCCAGTTAGCTTGTGTTTTTCTAACATAAGCTAACTTAAAAATAAATCACAGTTCATGAATATGTTTAAAATGTTAAATCTATCTAATCTAATGCTATATGCTAAGCTAATCTATGTTAAAAAAGAAGATAGCGGCGAAAAAGTGATGGTTTGACTTTACCTTAATTTAACAATAGTGAGAGATGCAGACTTTAACTACAAAAATTGTAAATTATTTACAATTTTACCTTTTTGTTTCTTTAAAAATGTAGATTTTTATACATATTTTATTGTTATAAACCCACCTGGTTGTTTGTTTATGTGCAATGTGAAATTTGTCTTCAGGATAAATATAATTCAACAGTTGAATTCACAGTTTTTCTTGCTTTAGACAGTAATTTGTACCATGTGTTGATACTTTATGCACCAGCTCACGATGGATTTCACCTCAGTCCTTTATTCCCTGTAGTCAAACTGATGCTGCATTGAGTCCCGGTCTGAACTGCTTCTGCTCACCTTCACGTCCAACATTTGTTTCTATAAACGAGCTGTGTCGTAACGAGAACGGCGTTTGTTCCTGCGTCTGCAGTGTGAGAGAGTGAAACCACGAGGAGACGATGTTCTCCAGAGCTCAAACTGACAGTCTGCAGACATCAGACCTCTGCACACACACATCCCTGGCTAATTTACATATGTTATGGATAATTCATATTATATTCAATGCATAACAATAACAGTACAGAACAAACTGCACAATGAACCCAAACAGAGAACACAATAATTCTTTGTCCACATTAAGTATTTTTTTTTTTTACATTTTTCTTAACCATACACATTTAACAGGTTTATTTTGGAAAATTCAGTGTTTTTCTTCTCATTATTCTCATTTCACTCTCAATGTGAAGCTGAGATGAAATTAAACTGCGTTGGACGTTAGCAGTTTGTATTTCTGCTCCTGCTGCGTCACAGTTTGCAGTAAATCAGCTTCCATTGTGAGCAGCAGCCTGACGTCGGTGCCATCAGATAAAAACAGCCTCACAGTCTGGAAACATCAGCAGCAGCTCCACCCGAGGACCGGCGAGGCTCGCTGACTTCATACGACCGCCCGGGAACAGCCGGCGCTCAGAGGATGGATGAGGGTTAATGAGGGCGGGAGAACAATACAGATCAGGTGATGGAAGAGTTGATCCACGTGGGGTCGCAACAGGTCTATATGTCAACATGTCACTCATTTCTCTGAGCAAAACTAAATGAAAAATGTATTTTTTAAGTTTAAATTATTATTTAAGATAAAGGGGAAGGAAGGAAAAAGAACCTGAGAATCCCAAAGTTCCCAAACACGTAATAAAAAACACTTTAATAATAAAAAGATGCATCTTCAAAAAGGTAGGTTTTAAAATGAACCAATAAACATAAGTAAGCCTGCAGACGGCAGGTAACGAGTGAGCCGAGGAAGAGGGGAACCAAGGAGCTCCTCTCAGTGCCCACAACCTGTGGGACCGCTTCAGTGATCCTCTGATCGACCCAAATATAAAGCTTCAGTCTCTGATCAACAGCTTCGTCCTGTGTGAGGAAACAACCAAAGAGCTGATAGAACAATGACAATGAAACACTGAATCTGTCAGAAGTTCCTAAAAAAATATCAGGAAAACTCCTCTGTGCTATTACAGTTCTTTAACTTTTAAAATTCAGATTAAAATAAGAAAAATCTAATAATAACAGCACTCTTCTGTCAATGTAAGACTGATTATTTGTATCATAGCAGTGTTCATCTGTATTTATAGCTCATTTAATTGGTTTTACAGTGTACATCTTTAATCAAACATTAAAAAAGACAAAATATTATTATAGATTTTATGTGAAACTAAAAGCTGTATTTTAATTATAGAAGATTTCTGCATTTTTACAAGTCAGTTATTTTCTGTTATTTTACTGTAGCAGTAACATGTAAGCAACAGAAGCAATAACAGTTAGCAGTAATAAAAGCATTTAACCACAGTAATGCTAGTTAGCAGCAGTTTGCAGCAATAAACAATTAGCAACTGTAAGGAGCATAAAAAGACTGTTTATAATAAGATCAAACGTGTAAAATCTTTGTAACTGTGGATTCATTTCCCAGCAGACCGACAGCACAACGACAGTTCTATCACAGAATCTTCCTACAGTCAACATAAAGCGTCTTCAGGTGACCTCCCGTGGACGCTGGTCAGTTGGTACTGATGACGTATGTTCTCATTGTTCTGCAGGGAGGGTCTGTATTCTCTCCATCACTGCTTCAGACTCCCTCCACCTCCGGACGTCAGGCACTGGATCTGGCCAAAGAGCTCGGCTGTGTGACCTCCGACCATGACAAGATGGCCGCCTGCCTCAGAGCGACGCCCGTTCACTCGCTCAACGCCGCTCAGACCAAGGTAGAGTTTCCAAAGCAGCAGTTTTGTGTGACAGTCTGAAAGAATAAAGTCCAGTTTCTGTGTGTCTGACCTATGTATGTATGTATGTATG